TCACCTGTACCCCTCTGTCCAGTGACAGTGCCCTCTCACCTGTATGTTTAAGCTCTTCAGTATCTGCCTTATACTGTACAGGTTGCTGTAGCTGGTGTCTATGAGCTCCTGCAGGCCCGTGTTGGTGACAGTGGTTCTTGCTGTGGAAATGGCCTGGGTCAGTAGCCTCAACCCAGACTGGACCTCCTCTTCCTGCTCCCGGCTCTGCCAAAGACACACAGGGGTCAGTACACACACCTGTATCAGCTGTTGCTGTGCTACTCCAGCCCTGGAAAGACACAGGGGATCTTAGTGTAGATTAAGAACTAGAAGAAAAGTATTTTGAGACTTGAACAACTATGTGTTTGCTTTGCCATGGTTTCTTCTGGTTTTAAGTAGTACTTAATTCTCCCACACCTGCCTACATTTTTATTTGACCAAGTAATACTGCACTCCTACCCTGATTTGACTGTATTTACTTCCCTTTACTGCACTGCACTGTGCTTTTACCTTGATTGCACTGTGCTTTTTTGACAGGTAAACTGACAGACACTTGGCTGGTCTGACTCACGCACCGACTCACGGCGAACAGGTTTGCAACCGAGGGGCTCAGAGGTCAAAGGTAAGAGGACAGAGGTAAAATCCGAACTCACATCTTTGCTCTCCCACTCGTTGAAGTTGACGCTGGTGAAGGGGACAGCGAGAGGCTCTGTCCAACCACAGCCCTCCTTGCACGTCCTCTGGACAGAGACAAAGAGAGAGAGACTAGCTCAAAACTCCCTGTGCAAGAGCACACTTGAAGGCCAAGAAATCCTGAGGGCAGCTGAGGGCAGCTTGACCTACAGGCAGAATTATTGTGCATTTCTGATTGGTCCCTGTGAAGTCAGTGGGGCCTCCTGGACTTCTTTAGAGTAAAGGTCACAACGCGTGACCATTTCACTCCAGTTCCTTTCTGCCCCTCTACTGCTGTAGCTTGGTGCCCTTCATGAGCCAGAAGCCCTAACTGTCCATCCAATGCCAAGCAGCACCCTGAATTCCCCCACACGTCCTATAATCCCAGGACCCAGAAAAGTCCTAACTGCCCCTCTCTCACCTTGACCAAGGCTGAGTACCAACCTAACTGCCTCCTTATGACCCAGCATTCCTCAAAACTACCCCCTCACCCCAGTGCTCCCTGACTGCTCTATATTAGTCCTGTGCCTGTGCCCCTAACTGCCCCCTCAACTCCCAGGGTCCAGCAGCCAATCCAACAGTTGCCCCCCCACCATGCTAGCAGGCCGGTGCCCGGTGCCCACCATGGCGTTCTCCGTGTCGCGGGCCTCCCTGATGAAGCGGTCCAGGACGCGAGAGTCACAGATGGGGCGTAGCAGGGCAGGGCGTCCTAGGCGAGAGTACTCTAGAATCATCAACAGCACAGCAAAAAATCCTGGAGCAAAGGACAGGAGAAACAGGGGTAGGAGTTGAGTTAGCAGGATATGGCTGCCGGCGAAAGGCAACTGGACTTGGTTTCCTGTAGCATTCTTAATGGCTTAATGGGCTGTGTCAGTGTACTGGACTCCTCAGGGACTGTGAGAGTCTAGAGCCCTGTGACTGGGCTGTGTCAGTGTACTGGACTCCACAGGGACTGTGAGAGTCTAGAGCCCTGTGACTGGGCTGTGTCAGTGTACTGGACTCCTCAGGGACTGTAAGAGTCTAGAGCCCTGTGACTGGGCTGTGTCAGTGTGCTGGACTCCACAGGGACTGTAAGAGTCTAGAGCCCTGTGACTGGGCT